CTCGGACTCGGACTCGGTCCTTAATGTTAGGGACTCGGACTCGGACTCGGAATAAATTTTTGAGGACTCGGACTCGGCTCGGACTCGGTCCCTCCCGGACTCGCCCATGCCTGGAAGAAAGCTCTAGAATAGCTATGCGAGATCAATTCATAGCAGTTATCTACCTCTTTCAGAGCGGAAACAATTATAGTATCATATCAAAGTTTTAGTTCTTTTTCTCTGAATGTAATTAGTACTTACCAAATATCCATGCAAGACTTTGTGTGGTACACGCTGTTAATAGAACAAGAACAACTCGTTTTCGTTGTTGTTTTCCTTTGACACTTGTCTCAGCTGCTCTGACAAAGAAACATAGTCGTCTAGTCATAAGCACAATGAGAATTAAATTTATAAGAATGAGTATTGATATTGGTATTGTCATATACCAGTACAGAACTTGAGGTGTAAACCAACATATCTGCTGTTTGAACAGATAGGTAATTTGATAAATTGGATTTGAATTGAACCCGGCTAGAAAACTTAAACATATCACTGCAATAGCAAACGATGATCCTAACAGAATAGCTAAACGTCGCATGCTTGGTGCGCTAGCTTGAACGAAGCGTAAATAATTGAAGTATCCTAACGAAGTTTTGCAACAAAATGCGAATATAATTAGAAAATACGTGATGTACATCAGAGTGAGCGAATTTGTGTCACATACTGTAGAAGCGGAAGGATTCACATGAACGCTTAGTAGTAATGCAAGATAGAATATGAATAATAAACAAGTGGCTGCACACGATATTAATGGTAACATATCAGTAGCAACGATATGAGTGTGAGTACAACAAATTTTTGTTATCAACGCATGTACAATGATACATATGAATGCAACGATCGAAAATGATTGAAAGGCAATAGATATGTAATCAGATGCCGTGTAAACGGTATTACCTAAAATTGTGAAGAATATGAAAGATGAACATTTTGAAAATTAGATGATACACACCTAATACATTTGCTGGTAACCAAATTAGAGCAAATGTTGTGAAATGATTACAGTTGCATTCATATGCAATAGAATCGCTATTTATATCTGGTCGAGGAGTCGGTGCTCCTTGACAACCCTTACGATCCCAGCCTGCTCCATTCCAAAATGAACATTGCAAACGATCTGTTTGCGTCGGATCAATAAGGTCTCTGTTATATATAAGTGTAAAATAAAGTTGAACACTTGTATTATTTATGTTTGGTGTAGTGCCAACAAGAATCACAGAAGATGATAGTTTTGAACTGTTAGTGTCATGCTGTAAATAATTATCCGGTCTTTTAATTAATAATAATTTCAATAATGAAACGTTTCTGAACTGTTCAGTTTCGCTCACAACGGCTGCAGCTAATATATCTCGAATTTGTTGGGTGACGTTTGTTACATTGGTGACGTCTGTGCCACCTCGAGACGATCTGAAGGCAGCGCCGATAAGAAGAGTGGCGTTGAAGATATTTGGTGATGCAGCACGAAGATATAGCTCTGTTGTATTTCGTGCAACACTTGTTGTAATACCATTATCAATAACATTGTCTAGTACGTTGGCATCTACGAGTAATGATGCGTTTCTTGTTGTTGAATTTAAGCTCGTATCTAATACAGCAAAATAGTCTGTCACAGCATCTGCTATAGCCGTCGTATTCATAGAGCTGATATTTGTGAGTATAGCTACGGCCTTATCCTAAAAGATAAAAGATGTTTTTTTGAAATATTTATTGCTGTCACAAGATATTTAGAAATAAAAAGGAAAGTGTTATAAACTAGGTTTTACTATCTAGAGAGTGCGACTGGAATAGGCTCTTCTCTTCCAGATTTTATACACTTTCCATCAAATTTTGTAAGTTTATTCCGCCGGTAACCAACGTGCCGTTAGTCAAGAAAGATGATGAGGATTGCAGAAGAATGTCAGTGGAGTTTCGCGAAATGGTAGTATTTAATCTATTATGAATAACATTCTGCAGTGCGTTTGCATCTATCCGATTACTGAGTACTGAAGATTTTTATGGTGTACTCAGTGCGTGAACATAGTCTAGCATCGCGTCGGCTTCAGTACTCGAATTAAACTGGCTAGTACTTGTAAGTATAGAGTATTTGTATATATACATTCTAAATAGGAAAATATTCGATGCTTATATAACAAGTGCTCTTCTATGAGCTTAGAAGTTCTAAATGTCAGCAATATTTCTTCATTATTATTTAGACAAGAGATGGATTTACAATTATTTATTTTAATTTACTTACAAGTGTAACATTTGTTGTCGAGCAGCTAACGTGAAGCATGGAAAAAACATATCCCATGGAACAATTAGCTATAAAAAGAATAAGATTAGATCAGACTGTATATGGAATCGAAGTAAAATATCAGTTTTGCTAGCGCCTTACAGATTTGACCGACACTGCGTATGTCGTGTATGCATATCTATTACTTTATTGATCTGTACGAGACACCGTTTAGCCAGCAAAAGCATAGCAGATGCAAGAAGAAAATCACGCAAGATGGTCGGGTCGGGCCAGATAAATTCTACGTTTAGTCAGACCGAGTCGGGTTTGATCCCTAAACTTTCAGCATCGGATCGGGCCGGGCCAAAAAGTTTTGCCCGTGCGGATCTCTGCTAGTAATATTATAGCCCTAGTGAGCTATCAATGAAATCAGACGAACTCGTAAGTAGCACAAATCATAGTATATATTAAACAGTCTGTCTAGTATAATACATATCTTTTTTTCTCTTTACTCAATGTTGACAGCGTTAATAGCAGCGATATATATTTTAACACTAAATGAATTTAACAATAAACAAATTACGACAATTTTTTCAAACAGATCAATAAAGTAATAGATGCATAGGCGACCACATAGTGTCGATCAAATCTGTAATGCGTTAGCAAAACTGCTTTTTTACTTCTCCATACGCAAATGCTTCTTTACGTATGTCTGTGTGTATTAGGATGAAGCAAGAATGAACAAAGTAGAGTGTAAAGAAGACATATGAATTGTAAACAATGTAATATAAGGAGTCTTACTGTTTGGCGCTATTGGTGTGGTCGTACTGATTTTTGTGACGGCTGTTGATTCACTTGAGAAAATAATTATGAAATCCTCGAACTTTATACAGAATAGTCAAAACTTACAGATTGATGTATAAGTCGTCAAATGCGAATGCCGTGCCGTTGAATAGGTTCGCTGCTGGTATGACAAGCTTGGAATATAAAGTACCACCACTGGTCTGAAATGCTACGCTATCGAGATTTGTCGAGTTGAAAATGATTTGTGACCGTTCTGATACGCGTAGTGTTACAGATTTAGAATATACAGAAAAGCCCCGATAAAAGCCAGTAATATTTAGTTCTAGATTGTCGTACCAAATGGCAGCAGCAAACATAGAGTTTAGCTTAAATGCAATAGAATTTGAGGAAATAGTAGGTATTGCAGTGTTCATCCTCGTATAGGCGACATATGTACCACTGACGAGTGCTGTCTGATAGCCGGTTCCATTAAAAGTAGGTTGTGAAGGAGACATGACATCTTGGTAATAAATTTCAGACCAATTTAAATTGTTATATCCGGATGGTATGTAACCACTTGAGTTCGAAGCGATATTATCGAAATTTATCAGTATATCATTGCCAGCTAGAATTGAAAAGTTAAAATCTGCTAAGTAGTAGTAAGGCAGAAATGGTAAAGACAATAAGTATGGAGGATCATTTTGACTTTTAATTATTTTTTCTAAGAATAAACATTAAACGGACACACAAAAGATCAGTCGAAGTTTAAGTCTCTCTTTCTGGATTAGGTAAGTAACCCATAATGTTATCTTCATTTAACACCACAGTGTAAGAGCTTTTGATTATGTGTTGTATAATAATACATCTTTAATACAAGTACAAGATGGCTGCATCACTTTAAAAACAACGTATTTTATATTTTACTGTTCCAAGCTACAGTTCTCTTTATCGAACTTTTTGAGAGAGAAATGCCAGAATTGCCTCTAAAAGCAGTGTACTGAGACCATTTATTTCTGATGTGGAGCACGTTTTTCACGCTGATCACGAATGTTATGCTCATTTTTGTTCCAAAATGATTTTTAGTACCGATAGTTTTGAATGAGAGTTGAGGTTTTGAGTCTTTGCACTTGATTGCCAAAACTGGCCTATGAGCTTACATTAAAATCAGTTTATTTATACATACTTGTATAGCTTTTCTCACTATCTATCGGTTATACCAAAACCTATATATTCTTGTATAAGTCATCGAGGGCAACGTCTAATGAAAAAAAGTCTCACTTTTCCTTTTCTCTCAATTGATCGAGCCAGAGTTGCTATAAACTTTGAAAGATACCCGAACTAAATACTTTGGTAGTGCAGTAACTGCAAACCATAAACAAGTCAAACGCATAAATACGAGTTTGTTTTATTATCGAGTGAGACAAGTCACATTTCGTTAAGAACAAACGTGTAATTTGGATGGCAAGAGGAACTCTATTAAAGTTTTGTACGGTATTCGCGGAGGTCAGCGAATATTATTCGCTCATTTATTAAAAATTACATATCGTCGTAAAAGAATCATATAAAAATCAAAGCATTATTTTTTCTATTGTTTTCTGCCATGTCTCGTCGAACTTGGCAAGAGATTTCATCAGGTATTAATAAAGATTATCTTTCAACATTAATTAAGCAACATAATGTTTGTACATATCGTACTAAACCATGCAAGAATTATCTATCAATAACATACAAATGTTCAGAATATAAAAAATTTCCTGCATGTTCATATCAGTTAAAAGTCAAACAACATGTAGATGGAACATACCAATTATATTCCTCATCATGTCATAATGATCAACAACGCGCTAATAGTAATCGTTTATTATCACCTATTCTTGACAATATTCGTCAAATGACCGAGAATGGATTAACAGTTGTACAAATTAAAAAGGTAATGAAAGTATTACATCCAGATCTTTTCATTGATTCAAAAATCAAAAGTGCTGTTGAATATAAACAACAACAAAATCGTTGTCGTATAGAATTCATCGAAGGATTATATTCGCGGTGTTCTCAACGTAATACATATCCATGAGTTGATGAAATACATGACGTTTACGTACCATATTTTGAAGCTGCTGTTAACTCTATCATATTTATTCTCAAATGTTTACCCATATCAAAACAAAATTATATGTTTAATATCTTCAGATGAATCACCAGAAACATTCAAAATTTTTTTTCGTGGTATTCAAATTTGGGCATCGGCTATCAATAATCAAGCATATACCATATCACATGTTATGGGGGATGTTGCAGCAGGTATTACGGGTGCCATGTGTGAATTACCATTAGCGCGTCGTTTAATGTGCTGGGCACATGTCATCCGTAAAGTTCGTGGGCGTGGAACATTAATTAAAAATAAAGACAAATTTTTATTAGTTGAACAAGATATTAAGCAATTACAACTATCATTTAGTGATCAAATATTTGTCACAGCAGCCAATCTTATGAATAATAAATGGAAATTAGATAAAGATTTAGAAAAATTCACGGACTATTTTGAACAACAATGATTGACAATATTAAGTTTTTGGTATGAAGGTGCCTGTATTTTAACGCCATCAACAAATATAATGATTTGGAAAGCTTAAATGGTCGAATAAAACAACATTATACAAAATTAGCACTATCTGCATTTTTACAAACGGCTGAACGAATGGTCAAAGATTGATCTATTCTAAGTGAACAAACACCATTTGCAACTCATATTACGTACAAAGATGATCTTGATTTAGAAGCAGTCGAATGGGTGAAAAAAGTTGATAAGACACAATATTACAATTGACTACATTTAACTTTGTGGTACCATCAAAAGATCAAAAAATGAATACATCAACATGGGTTAATCTATTACATTCAATGGCATGGGATTCATATGATCATTTTAAAGATTGACTTCATTCAGCAGGTTTATTCGATTTTTCTCGTTTTTTACTACCAATATATGTCCGAGATCTTTTAAATTCTTGTCCATTAAAATAAATCCGTGGTGCCGCGGCAGAGCGGCAGAGGGAACGGCAAGAATTTTGAAATGCTCTCTTATTCAACTTCTCAATTACCCGAGAAAATGTGTTCATCTTTTTGAAAGGGAAAACCAGGACTCTTCAACAATACCGATATACTTAACTACTTTTCAATGAAAAATTTATTTTTCTTAAGTTTCCAAAATTTCACTTATTATTTCACTTCAGTTTTTAGATTTAAACGACTGAAAAGTAGCATATTTGCGCAATCGTTCGATTGATATGTAATTGATTTAGAACCAGACATGTGCGCCGGCTGCCGACGGCTTTTTCATGAGTTGCTCCTGCCCAAAGCAGAAAAGAATTTTGACATTAAGCGCCGCTAGCTGCAGTAAATGGCGTTTGAGAGGATTGATAAAACGCCTTGAGCGCTTGTATTTGCGGAGTGCCATATTCGTTTTTTCTGTTGCTTTCACAATCGTCACCGATTGACAAGAGATCGAATAATGTTGGCTTAGCGATGCAGATCTTAACCTAATCCAAATCTTAATTCATGCATGCATTTTCTTTTCTCCTGTGGTAAAACTTTTGCATTCAGTACTTGAAATAAAACAGCGACAAATAGCATTTTTTTCTGCTTGAGGTAATTTAGTAGAGAAATTGCAGCTCTGTGGAAAAGACAAATTTAGCCGTCGATTTCCAAATGCTTCACTCTTACGTCGGTGAGTGGAAAAGTTTATGTCGCTGCCGAAGGCGAAAAAAAGTTATGGGGTTAGACGCCGCCGCCATCGCCACCGAACATTCTTTGTCGGTGCACATGTCTGTTTACAACAAAGACCGTCGAGTTGCACAAAATTCAAAATAGGAGAATATTCGGTTTTTCAAGCAAAACGTTGACATCTTTTTCTTAAAAAACTCATAAGGCATCAATCGGAGGTACAGGTAACCTTAGACGGAGAATCGAACAAACATAGCAAATTGAAAAATAAATTTTCACTATGTTATACGACTTTTTTGGTGTTTTCGTGGAACGTCTCTGAAGGGATAAAATGATGCCTTGAGGATGACAAACACCTTGACTATTTACAGTACGACTTCTCTAACTAACTGGCCACTCATTGTGAATAAAGTGTATTGACAAAGATTAGCCATATGAGAATACATGTCATGTTTATCAAATATTATCCAATTTAAAAGGTATAAAGATTCACATATAAAAGCCCACATATATCTCGGAGTTGACTCTAAAATTCAGTTGCCTTTAAAAAGCAAATAGTTTATCCTTCAATTTGAAAGCCAGTTCATTGTTAAATTTTCAAGACAACTTAGGCCCATTGGAATGTTAACTGGATTGTAACTAGTTGACTGTAACTAGTTGACTCTAAAATTTTCGAGTCATGGTGACATTTGTTGATTTGGAAGTTTCTGATCTTGATCGTACAAATACTTCTTCGACAATACTGGCATGTAAAATAATTGATTTCCATTCTCACAACTGCAGTTAACTAGATTCCGTGGAAATTACTAGAACTGGCAGAATTTGACGCATTCAAAGGTGTACTGTCCCTAAGATTCTGTTCAGAATCTGGTTGAATTCTGATAGAATTCCAATTCTGGTTCTACTAGAATCTAATAGAATTACAGCAGAATTGGACCAGAATCTACTAATTCATGTCTATAGGGAGCTATATCAGTTCACACTTAGATACTCTCTACGAATTGGAAGATTCTGACTGAAAACCAGAAGTTGACACCACTCTCTCTCAATGGAAATACATTGTATACAGTTGCTACTCAGAATGCTGTTATAAAACAACGTGTCGAATCAATGGTATTTCTTGATTTAACAACGGCAAATTTTGCAGCATCACGCAATCTCAATGTTGATCAATTATCCACCATTACTTGCATAGAAGCAAGCCAGATTTATACAGATTTTAAATCATTTGATAATTGTAAATGCACCGATAATTACAACACAAAAGGGTGCCAGTGTAAGAAAGAAGAAGAGTGTTGTACAAAATGTCACTGCCCAAGCAAAAGAAAAAGTCGATAAGCTAGCTCAATCTAGGGTTGAGCTAGCTTATCAACTTTTTCTTTTGGTTGGGTGTGATATAGATTCAAAACTTAAAAAATGTCAGGTGATTGTTTCTCTAGCGTTTTATTGAGTTACTAGTGCTTTGCTAATAACTATTGTGCGTCTGTGTGTAAAGTTTTGTGTCTCTACTATTAATCTTGATCTCTTTGATAAAAATAGGATATACTTCGTACCTGTCAATTCTATATTTCCACATTTCAATCTGAACTAGTTGACTTCAAAGTTTAACAATCAACTGCTTCCATCTAGTTGACTTTCAAATTTTAGAGTGAACTCCGACATATATATAGACGTAAATGAAATGCATATTTATTTTACGACTTTTTGAATAAATGGAAGAAAATTATTTTATTAACTTTGTGTTACTTACCGATTCCACTGCCGTCGACTATTGCACTTTCATCAAGCGACATTTGTCTTGCCATAATGTCCAGAGGAAGGAATCCTTCATCTTCTACGGCAATTAAATTTGCCCATCTTTTCGCAGTTTCATCACTAATTGTAAATGATGATTTATCATAAGATGCTGTTGTATTTGCATATTGAACTAATTGAGGTCTCGATGTATACGAAGAAAATATGTTCGTTGTTGTGGTTGATAAAACGGTCGTTGTGATCGGTAGCAATGTATTCAATTGTATATCACGTTTTAGTTTTTGTCCTTTTTTTGTGGATGATAATGTTGACTTCGAAAACGTGTTCATATTAATAAGGTGAAATTCTTTATATAGCGGTTCTTTACTAAGCGCTTGAGCAACGTAATAATTATGTTCATTGTCATTATTATCGGATAGTTCACGAATAGTACTGATTAAATCAGAAAAAGAATGTTTATGATATGTACTAGACCCTTCCACTTTTTTTTCATTTTTAGCTAAAATGGAATAAAAACAATATGACGTAACCTGTCTCTCTCTGCTGTCATAAGACGAACGTCTTCGTTGTTATCTCTCATAATATTCATTAGATAATAGGAGTACAAAAGATGCTTATCACGGCGATGAGGAAAAGTAGCTTTATGTGTATCAGATGTACTGTATCCAATCATATAGTCGTTTCTTTTAACAAAATGCTTACTCCATTTACTGAGAATCATGTCTAGACCTTCTATCACAAGATTTGTTTAGCTGTAAGGAATGCACAATTTGCTCGTTAACGGAACTTTTGACTTTTTGGCTAACAAATCGCTGAACGGCTTGTCCAGCTAATGATCCCCTTTTTTCCCTCTCCTTTTCGAAAACTTATTACGATAAGCTACAAACTAATCTAACGTAATCTCGGCTCTGAACGTATGAAAATACACTTATTGTATAAACAGCCCAAAAGATCGATTTTGGGACTATCCGACAACGTGTCTAAGCGTGAAGACGGGCTGGCGAAAATTGAAGGAGTATACCAGTTTTTAAAAGATTGTTTGCTCTACAAAATGT